TTCAGGCTCGGAGTTGGTCCGTTGCTGATGAGCCAGGCAGGAAGGTGATGAAGAGACGGAGACGAAGGAAGGGATACGGCATCGAATATGCATCCATCGTGTTGGAATTCATCGCATCTTTCGAGGCCCCCACTGAGGATGCCCTGGTCAAATTACCGTCTGCCGGCGTCAGTCTGGTCTTGGGCTGGCAGCCGACAGCACATGGGCCGATGAATGGGCCAAAATGCGCCGCGCCGTACGCAGTAAATCTGTGTGAGAGAGAAGAGGACCCTCTTCTCATTCCGAATCTTGATTGTTGATGGCCCGTCGCCCGCCAAGCACCAGCGATGAGCCTTGCACTTCGTATCACGTCGCATACGAATAGCGATATCACGCGCATGGCGATTTTGGGCCCTACCATTGCTGTCGCACCTTGTCGACACCTCTCCATACCCCGTACACTGTGTGCGTTGCTTCCGGTCAGGGACGGACGCGGTACGGCCTTGTATCTCCACGGATGCGGGTACGGGAGTATGACCCCGATCGTCGTCCGGAAAACGTTGAGCATTGCCAGTCGCCAGAGACACTCTGCGCTTGCAGTCGTCCCGAAACGAATCGCCATGCGGTTGCAGGGCTTTGCTTTGGCATAATGAAGCACTTGAGCCGTCAGGAGCGTTTGGGTCAGGGCCCTTGCAAAAAAAACGCTGATAAGCTTGTCTCGTCCCCGATGGCTTGGGTTTGTGCGTTGCCGCACTCCCAAGCTTTAACTGACAGCTCTCGTCCAGTGACAGGCCGTGAAGCTCACAGACCCAACCTGGTGAGCGAATGACCGTCTCCCAGTCTCGACAATGTCTGTCGCAGCACATCAGACGAACGGCAGGGGGTTGCCCGTTCCAAGGGCCGTGACTGGCCCAAAGAGCTCAAGAAGCAACCCCTCGTTGCTGGAATTCGGCAAGCTGGCGACGAAACACTTGGAAGAATAGCGTCAGTCCTTGCCCTTGAACTCACTGGCGCGCCTCAGGTTTGAGATCGTTTCTCAGACGGGGCAAGGCGGCTGCAGGGCGCGAAGAAACATCTCTTCTCTCGCGTGCTCTTTTCTGCAAGGGCGAGCCTTGCTCTTTTTGAGGAAACATTTCTCGCATGGCACTGCACGTTTAACCTGCTGGCGCAGACAATCCCATCATTGGCATTCCCCTCTGCGGCAAGGAAAGAGAGAGAAAGGGGAGACGGTTGGGGCGAACTGAGTTGCTTGCGATGGCCAGGCGGAGGAGTCGAGACAAAATGTCGGTCTGGGATTCGTGAGGCAAAGAGTTACAAAAATAAAATAAAATAATTGTTCCGCATCTGGCGTCCTAGGGATACGGCGGAGAAAAGAACTGGAACCGTTGTTCACGATGTGATTCGTGCATCCCGTAGGGAATCTGCCGACCCAACGTGGTGTCACTTTGACGATGCAACGCTCTGTGCCTCGCATCTGTCCAGTGAGATGTCGGCAGCCTCTTCGCTTCCTGTGAGACAGGCCGTTTTTTTGCTCTTGAGTCTTCCCTTTTCTACCACTTGCGTCGATATCGCGCGGCACGGTGCAGCAGGTACCAGTCCAGATCGCGGACCATAGTATCGAATGTCTACCGCGAACCTTTGGAGGGCGAAGCACACACATGCTGCGTGCCATCAGAGTTCCACACCATTGAAGCATCATGATATTGTTCCACGGCCACATGATGGCGCGGAGGCGGTAAAGCGTGCGTCTTCTGATAGCCTGCGCGCCGGACAAACAATAACGTTGTTGCTGTCGGTCGATCTTGGCTTCCGCGCGCAATTCCCGGAAGAGATCGGCCGGGTCATTGCGAAATCGCACTTGCGGCCCTCCACCTGGCCCCTTCATGTTAACAGACAGATTGCATCTTGATTGCGTCCGATACGGTATCTCGTTGTCGTCGTCGGCCTCATTTAAAGTAAATGGCATTCTTCCCCAGAAAAGCTCGGTCTGTCCGCAGACCATGGCCCTGGAGGCTGGGCAGGCCAGGCCGCAAGGGTCTTGAGCTGTTTGGACCACGGGTTCGTGATGCTTCTTTTTTTCTGGCACACTCGCGTACATGCAGATGTGCGGTATCATGGGTTGCCAAGGGCGGAGGGGGCTACCTCGTCCAGGCCTGCACATCGATCATGGCCCGTCCTTGCCCTGCACAGCCTGTAGCTGGAGAGCGAGGAGCCAAGACATGTTCCGCCGTGAGCCCGAAACATTGGAAATGTTTCTCCCTTTTCTCGGGATCAAATTGACTTGCTCCCTTTCAGTTCCAGCGGCGGGAGCGAGAGCATCCGTCGGGTCGCATGAGAAAAAAATCTAGGAGGACGTTTTCATGCGGGCGGGAAGAAGGGTCCCTAACGCAGACGGGACTGGACGAGCAGCATTTGCCTCCGATGGCCGTTTCTGGTGGTCCGACAGAAGGCGGTTGCCGGCGGACCCTAAGACGGCAAAGGGGCGTCGGGCCCAATCAGCCATCTGGAGGCCCCTACGGTCTACCAAAAGATGGAGAGATGCCTCCAATCACGAAGACGGTGGAGGCGGACGTAGACGCAGACGCTTGCGTTCTTGTCGTTGCCCTTGGGCTGAGGAACGCTTTTCCTTGGCCGTCGAGGAACCCCAAGATGTCGTCCCTTTGGACAGCGAAGTCGACCCCTGCCACCGCCTCGTCTGGTGGTGTGGAGTTTGCTGCTGTGATCGTGGGTGTGACCAACCCCCCGGTCGACTACGAGAGCAATAGCTTGACAAGAAGTGTGGAGTGTTTGGCGCTGGAAAAGGTTGACAAGCAGGGAAAAACGAACGAGGCTCATGATGGGATGACGAAGAGTGCAGTAGGCAACATGTCTCGCTGCGGCTGTTACAAGTCATGATGTCTAGCAGAGTAGGTACCTCTCAGAGTTGTGGAGGGCACAGTAAGATGCCGGCCACCAGATGTGATGGGTAGTGAGCGGCGGCATCAGCCTGTTGGTTGAAGGATGTTGAGCAGATGACAGCATGGGCTGAAGTGCCGGCGATTAGACTGGACAAAGTTTCCACACACTCGTTCCTCCCTCCAATCCACAGCGACGAGACTATCGTGAGGGCCATAACCGTGGCCGTGGGTAGGGCGGCTTGGTCGGTTTCGTCTCTCGTCAGTCTCGGTAACCCCTCGCATCGGCAGGCTCGCCTTTCTACTCGAGTGCTAAAAAACGCCATGCCTCATGGAGGTGATAGCCTAATGGAGACATCTGAAGAGGTGATGGCAAGCCGCGAACGCCCGTCTGGACGAGTTGTAATGTGCGGTGCGGTGCGGTGCGGTTCAGGCATCGCAGATGGTGTCTGGTCGTTAGTAGCACCCTTTTACATGAAACGACACACTTTAGAGGCAATCCTCGCAGCAGCGCGTGGTCGAGATGGGATAGTGCTTCAAGTAGAAAATGCGGTTGTGAAGCAGAGTGCCAGAATTGGCCAAGGCTGGACAGCGCGGTCCTGACCTGAAGGGCGAATTAGAGTGTGGGGCCGTAGATTGTGCAGTCAATGATGAAGGGGCACGGCGTAGGAGATGTGCCAGGTGTGGCCCGTGTGGGTAGCGTCTGTGATGCAAAGTGTGGTGGTGGTGCTGGGTGTGTGCCTGGTGCTGGTGTGGTGTTTGGCGTAAGGAGGAGGAAGAGTAGTGGTGTAGGGGGTACGAAGCATTTCTCGGATGGGCGTGGAAAGGGAGTGGGTGAGAAGGACGTCTATCCGTAGGAGGTCCTCCGTAACCCGTTAGTCGTTGGTTACTCCGTCCTCCATGCCACCATCGTCGTGTGGTGGGAGAGAGCATGGCCGTGATTGTACGCGCGATGCAAGGTTTGGTGCGGACACCCCACGGACAGGTTGAGAGAGAAATTGACGGAGAGCTAGGTAATAAGGGTGAGCAGTACGGATATCTGTGTGTACATGACAGACTCACAGCCATTGATTGAGCCACAATCACACGAGGTGACTGAGCACTCTGACCTTGGTTGATGCCATGGTACTCGAGAGACTGAGGTGGGCATGGGTGGTGGATTGCGAAGAGAAAGTGTCTTAGCTAAGGTTGCGAGGTTGTGAGGTGTCGATTCTCTAGAGTCTAATGGATCTTGGGAGAGTAAGGTACCTAAGGTAGGTACTGTAGGTACGTACCTCATCTTGCAGAGTGGACAGCCAAAGGAAGGAGCGACAGGGACTAGCGGGGACTTGACCTCCCAGCCCCTGCCTCGCTTTCTCTCGCTGGCGCTGCTGCCACAAAAGCCCCCTGGTACATTGTACTGTGTCAAGTGAAATTCTCAACACTGGGTCCCCGTACCCAAGTGGACCCCGTTCAGGATGAGGACCTGACCGGGATCGGGACTAGGGGGTTACTGGGGGGGGCCAGGCCAGGATCAGGACATGGGACTTGGTGGACATGGGCTTGGGTGCAAGTGCAGAGTGCAGGAGCATCTTGGTGTCTGTCCGGCCTGTCTCTTGTCTATCTGGCGCCTTGCAGTGCCATCTGTGCTTCCTCTCTGTCTGTCTGTCTCTCTCAATCTTCACTTCTCTCTCTCTCCATCCACGGAGTCGAATCCCACACCCCTCCCCCCGGTTACCTATTTGGAGCCCCCGATACTTTGTACTTCGTACCGTACCCCCCGTCCCTTTATGTGAGTCCACCCGAACAGAACAGAACATATCCTATCCCGTCCCCAACCCGTCCAAGTGTGCCTGACCGACCCGGCCATAGATATATCCTCCTCTGCCCTCCCACCTCACACCCCTAGGTGCTTCTTGCTCTTTCTTTTGCTTCACCAAACGAGTAACTCTGCATTACTCCTCACTCTGAATATCTTCTCAACTCCAAGCCCAAATAACCGGCCTGGACACTTATACCGACCTACCTGCTAGTCAGCTGCCACTATTTGCTGTAGAACAGCTGCACTCTGCACTTCGAGAGTCGACTGAAACCGCCCAGTCTCAGATTTCCTCGAGGGAGATCGCGAACTTCACGTCACCGCCAACCATGTCTCTGGCCGGCCAGACTATGCCCGTAAGGGAGTCGGTACATTCCAGCCGAGAGGACCGTGTTACCTCCACCATGACAGACAAGAAGGATCAGCAGTCACAAAGGACCTCTTATAGGGACTCGCTTCCCAACGCACCACGACCCTCCGTCCAAAACGACGACGCCCCGAACGAGAACGAGAACGCAAAGATGTACGGCGACTACTACGAAGAGATGACGGGTCCTTCCCCCAAGAAGGCCCAACCCACACAAACAGCACCGGCACTACCAGCCAAGAGCTCATTGCGAGCTTCCAGACTCCTCGACGGCATGGCCCTCAAGATCATTACAAACCAACCCACACAAGCAGCACCCCAAGAAGTCTACCTCTCCTCCGAAGAAGAGGCTTCCTCCTCCGCCGACGAGTTTTCAGACTACGACTACGAGTCCGAGAGCGCAGAGTCCGCCGACTCCCCCGTCCGTAGGAAGAGCCAAGAAGACACTGCCCGCGTCGTGTCTGTCGTCTTCGCCGGAAAGCCCTCCATTATCGACCTCCCCTCAACCAGAAGATCCGCCTCGCCCGAGTCTATGGAGTCCAGCAGGCCCCCGAGCCGCTTGGTCATCTCATCAACAGCACCCTCATTGCGCAGGATGTCTACCTCCTCTACTAGCGGCGCCTCCTTCTCCCCCGTCTTCCACCCACCCAGGTCAAGCAGCATGATGATCACCAGCAGCATGTTGCCCAAGGAGAAGCCCTCCTTCCTCAGCATCGACCCTTACGCCAGCAAGCCATTTGATGAGCGGGCCGAGGAGCAACAAGCGGAGCCTGAGAGGCTCGAGAGACCCAAGACTCCCACCTCGCAACTGTTCAAGAGGACCCTCAGCATTGTCCGCAAGCGCAGCCGTCCCCAACTCAGAGACCTGGCTGCCAACAACTCGTCTCGCGACCGCTTGTCCTCGCCATCACTGGGACACTTGCCCTTGTCGGCTCATGCAGACATCAGGGAGGAGCCCGAGCAAAAGGCACCTTGGTCCGCAGTCAGCTACCACGATATCATGCGTGCGGCCAAGAAGAACGCGCAGAATCAGCCCCCGACCCCATCTACCCCCGTCGCTCAGGTACAATCGCCTAGCTCACCGGCGGGCAACACCCGGAGCCGGATCCTCAGCGGCTTCACCAACCGCAGGAAGAGCATCAAGATTGGCTAGTCACCGCTCACCCACCAAAGAAAAAAACCAGTAAAAAACCAAACACAAAAGACACTTTCGGCACACAACGGCAGGGCACTTTGCTTGCACCACTTTTTTTGCATTCGGGTCGGGACCATTTGCTTTGCATGCACGGCGCACGAACGGGAACCGGAACTGGATCACGGCGTTTCACATTGACCCTCGGGTTACGGACTTGGGCTCGGCCATCACTCCTTTCTTCAACCGGCGTAGGGCTATCTTCTTTTTCAATAACGACGGAACGAATTTCTTTGCGTGTACAAATGGGGTCGAAGTAATGTGTAAAGCAACAGTGTGGAGGACGAGGGACGGGGAGCAAAAGCCGCAAGACATGGCACAGAACGTGTATGGTCACTGGCAATGTACCAAAAATGGGACGGGAATGGGCACGCCTCAGAGCGGATGGCCTTTACAACCGGGCAGCCGAATCGGCCACATCCCCTCCGCGAGGCTTCGGGGGTGGCGCGGGCTAGTAGACAACCAATCAATGATACCAAACAACAATGTCCTATTTGTTCAACTTATTTCGTGTAACAACCGCTACTCTCGTGATGTGATTGTTTGCACCGTTTGTATGAATTCTGGGGTCCGTACGGAGTAAGTCTTGGGGAGATCATGGCAGCAGCAGTGTCCGTCTGCGTCGCAGCTCGGTCCCCCCCTACGGTGGCATCTGACGAACCGGCTCCCCAAGCTTCGGTTTCGGCCTCTTTTTGGGTTTTGGGGGGTGTTGGCCAGCAGCGGATTTGCGATTGGTGCCGCACTTTGTTTATTTTTTATTTTATTACTTTAAACGCATCGCATTCGCAGTCGCTGGCATCGGTCTGAGCTTTTTGTGAACGGCCTGTCACTGTTGTCACTATCACTGTTGTGCGCGTGAGCGGAATGGGAAAAATGCGTGTGGAATGCGGCCCAGGGCACTCCGGACGACCCCCCGATGACATCTTTTTTGGCAACAAAATCTCTTGTAAATGCCGAAATGGGCGAAAACATCACACACACACACGATAAAGACCGCAACGAAAAAGAGAGGACCGGCGACGTCTTCGCTGCGACGCTGTATGGGAGCATGGGTAGGTAAGCTACTGGCACTTACTTCATCGATTCATGCATGACCCCTCCTGATCTATTCGGCGCCGCAGTCTCAGACAACTCGTGGTCCCTGCGTTCAGAGTTTCTTTTCTTTTTTTTTTCCTTTTTGGCGCCAGGCTATAGGTGAAGTATGGTAAGATGGTGAAGCCTCTCTTGCCTGCGCCCCCCCCCCCTTGCCTTGCGCAAGCAATACTGTCAACGCCTAGTCCTATATGTTGCGTTATGTATGTCTAACACGCGCGCCAAATACACTACCTGGCCAAACCCCGCACCTCGACTGCGCGTTTGTTTGCGGCAGATAGATGGCATCGTGGGTTGCGGCTGTAAAGCATGTCAATGGGATAAGGTAGGGGGGGGGGTAGCTTAGTATAGGTCGGTTAGTCCACGATGACGGGTGGCGGAGGAGGGGGGGGGGGAAAAGTCTGTGCTAGGAATAGTTGCGAGAGTTTTGAGTTGAGAATCGATAGATTGGGCGTGCCATCTTTCGCCATCTGGTCGTAGCTTCTTCTTGGGAACCGGTTTCTTGGAGATGTGGTGGTGGTGGTGATGATGATGATGAAGCTATTGCTGCTGATTGGGGGTTGGAGGTTCCCCCCCGACTAGGATGTGAGTTCTAAAATAGCCACATTTTCGTGAGGCTGTTTTCTGAGGGTTAAAAAAGGTACACGATTTTCGCCTCTCCCGCACCTCGAAAGTGGGGGGGGGGGCATCTATACTGCGTACACCAGACACCCTGGTCCCGTCCCGTCCCTCTCTCTCTATCCATCATCAGGTCCACGGGGCGGAATTCGTAGAAATATCCACCCCCCACATTGAAGAGGAAAGCTTTGGTGATTATGGTATGTGGGAGGAAGAAGAAGAGGTTTGATTCTTTCCAATTGCTTGCAGCTACTGCGTACCCATACCTTGGTTCTCCAATCAACTTTGGCGATCGAATCAGTTCAATGGTAACAGGGTGCGGTGTGGCTGAAGGCGGTGGTACGTCAATTGCAACGTGGAGTCCATGCAGCAACGTTGTGGCCTTTTTTTTTTTTTTTTTTTTTTTTTTTTTTGGTTCTCTTTCTCTTTTCGTCTCTTTTGCTGCATGGCGGTCGTTTATTCCCCCCCTCTCTCTCGCTCGCTTCTGGGGGCTGCGGACGAGAGGGACGAAAGGGGAATCACGATCCCGGCATCGCGATGCAGGCTCTCCTTGAAAGAAAATAAAAAAGGGTAAGAAACACGTTGTCGTTGTCGTCGACCGCCTCATGATCCACACCTGCACAGTACACTACACCAGAATGCTTGATAGCATCCACAAGAGAGATAGAGACCGGGAGAAAAGAGGACAGTCGTGGACGGGAAGGAAAAAAGAAAAAAGAAGAGGACCCCACTATCCCACCGTCAACCGTCCATCGCCCACCGCCATTATCCGCGCCAGGCGCCCTGTCGCATTCTCCGCTTTGCTGCAGTGTGCAGTGTGTTGCCGTTGCACTTCTTGCAGATGCGGCACCCCTGGTCCTATCGATTTTGGATCATTGGATGATTTTCTTCCCTTCTCTATCCATACCTTGCCTCTTGTCTTTATTTATTTTCTCCCACTGTGAGGAAGTGTCTTTTGACGACATTGCCTTACTTTCTCTCCAGCCCATGACGCATAGTTCTCTGAAACGTCGAATAGAGTGGCATAGTCCGAGAAGTCAATCGTTCCGTACTATTATATGCCGCTGCGATATTGAACACCCGTCGTCATCAAGTAAACTTTTTCGAAATGGTGGCTAGTCGTCGGGAGGGTTTGTGGTAAGGCAGATATCAGGTCGCGCACGTGGGGTTGGTTCGGCCGCTGAAGGAAATCCTGCTTTTTGCTTCGAGTGCTGTGATTGGTCCGTCGATTTGGCGTTGGGGGAATTTTGGGTTCGGATGCCTTCAAGATGCGTGCGGCCTGAAGACGACCTTGGATTCGAGGGACTACTTCGATTTGCTGCTCTTCGTCATTATTCCGTTCGGACTGGAGCCCAAAGACTCATTTATCAAGAGGAGAGATGATGTGAAAAAAAAAGGGTTCACCATTTCCCTGGTTGACCGAAATTTCTCGTCATCTCCCGGGAATTTCGAGGTTACGTTCTCGCGATCGAGACAGGTCTGCACTGTCGCAGTACTAAGAAGTAGGGTAGGTAGCACATTTCGGCAATCGTTCTTTTTTGTCCAAGGTAGTTCGTCACACGCACTCGTTGCGCCCATCCATCCGGGTTTCTGGTTCGACTTTCTACTATCGCGAGAGCGATGATGGTACTAGCTGAGCATGCCCACTGTATGACAGTTCCACGATCCCCCGATTCCCGGCGCAAGGCGTGCAAGTGCGTGTGTAAGCGTGGTACGTGTAAAGTAACCTCAGTGTAACGCAGACGGCGGCGGCGGCGGCGGCGGAGAATGGGGCACGACGGGGACGGGGGACCAGTTCAACAGCCTTCGTTCTCATCCGTTCCAATGTAACCTCCAAACGCCGGGTGCGTGGGCGATGGAGCACCGTACGTCGATAATTCAGAAGTATGCGCTGTCGAACGCAACATGGCAGGGTCTTGCATGCTTTCAAAACGTCGAGGCTTGGAAGGGCGTTCCCACTATCTCGGAGCTTACCTAATACCCGCGTGTGTGCGACAGAAGTTGAACCTAGAATGCATTACCTAAGCTGAAGAGCTGAAGAGCTGAAGACGTGTGTACGTCTGCCCTCAGCCACAATCATCCTGGTAACACTTGTAAGCATATAACACGCCGGTGCTAAAGCCATATCACCTTTTTCTGAATTCTGACCCAAAAACTCCGCAATGAGAACGCGTCGGAGCCTGAAAGTGGGAGGGGCGGGCTGGTGCGGTGCGGCGGCGGCCGACCGAGTTCTAGGCTTCCCGGTCGTCGGAGCCATGTGGGTTGAACTCTGGGAACATCGTGGCAAAAAAAAGAAAAAAAACATGAAACCGCAAGAACCTTGGTATTGGTGTAGGTTGACGAACTTGCGGCTGAGATGGTTATCCACAAACCACTTTACACATTCCTGCACTGTCTTTTGGGCTTTCCTCATGAACTAGGTTCCGCGTTTTTGAAGCCTTTGCACGTCTAAAATTCGGGCCCAAAACAGTGTTTACAAACAGTAGTCTATTCCAGACAGACGGCGCTTAGTTTGGCATTGTAAGTGCCTGGGATTACCTAAGGTCAGGGCCAAGCTATGGGGGCATATGCCAACACGAGCCTTTGTTTGAAGTTGAGCAGAACAACTCAGAGTCATATTGGATACTTGGTACCGCGCACTATACACGAAGCTGCCAGCTCGGCTACGGCGCCGGACACGACGTGAGGCTAAGGTTGCGCTTACACGCACCCCTGGTCTATTCTTTACCCTACCGTTCGGTGCTGCTTGTTCATGCGGTGTAAGTCTGCAGAACGTTGTGCGACTCTAAAACGTCATTGGCTTGTTGAACGTCAGCATTCTTTTTATTCCCCTTTTCGGGAAAAAAAGACCCTTCATGTAATGTCTTGCAGATCCCGTTGCGAGCGAGAAATTGATGACGTTGGACAGAAACCGGACCGAAAAATTCTGACCATGCCGAATGGGTTGCAAACAGACGGAACACCGACCACCGGCCCGGACGACTGCTACGGGTACTGTCTGACTGCCGTTGCCGGAAGGCTGGTCACGCAAGCCCGGAGATGGTGATGATCGGCCCCTCCTCAACCTGATGGTTCACACCCCTCCTCCGCCAATCTGGCAAATCTTGGAGTTCGCAACTTCGCATGCACGTTTGTGCGACGGTGGCTTTTTCTTAGCGCGGCTTTTCTTGGTTCATCACCATTACCTTCGTCACGTCGCGAGCAAACTACCGCTAAAGTAGTGAATCCGGGGACCTGCCTGTTACCTTTTT